GGCAACTGGACAATTAAAACAGACATTCGGGGCGGGGGAAGAAGAACGAACTGGGGAGGAGGGTAGAGAAAACAGTGCAACAATGAATGAATGAGAACCCAAAATCTCTGTAAATGTTCATTAAAACTAATAAAATTTAATAATAATAAAAAAAAATAAACTCACCTCAGTGGCATAAAAGACCTGGTGATCTGTTCCTGTAAACATTACAGCTTAGAGAACTTGCTAGGCAGTTCTCCACTGTCCTGTCGTATCATTAGCAATTGAAACCATCTCAGCAGTATGTAAGTAATGATATGGTAACCATTTATCTTAGAAAGAACTCTGAATCATGGTAACCCCATGCATTAAGGTAGATCTGTCCTCCAGAGTTTTCAATGGCTGATTTTCCAAAGAAGACTGACACTTTTTCTGAGGTACCTTAACTATTCAAACTTACTGTTAAGTGTAAACAAAAGCTCTAAGACTCCAAGGAGTCCAAATGAGTTATGTCCACAAGTTGAGAATTTTGCAGAATTGAAAAAGAGAAAGGTAGATGGAATCATTACAAAGGTTTTTCTGCTCCCTGAAATCACAATCTTGTTGTATTCCCAATACCCCTAGCAGTGCTTCACCCCTTTTAAAAATTATTATTATTTTAATGAAAATTTACAGAGACTTTGAATTTCCATTTATTCATTCATTATTTCACTTTTCTCCCTGTCCATCCCTCTTCACCCTAGTTCACTCTTCTCGTTGAAAAGTAAAAGAAAAATTCTTTCATTGTTATACAATCCCTACCCCCGAGACCACTCCACTACGCAGCTTTTGTTCTGGACTCCTGTCATGACAATAATACCTAATCACACATCCTTTTAAAACAGTTCTCTCTCATCTGTTTCAATGTAGTATACATTCTTTACCCCATCTTTCTTAGTCTCCTCCCAACCCTGATGTCAGTCCCATCTTACAATAGTGGCACCACACAGTATTTGTCCTTTTGTGACTGAGATCTTTCACTCAGCATACAGTAATTGGACCTGGCCAAATAAGTCCTTTTACAGCTCATAGGCCTCTGGTGAGTAGTCCATCAGTGGTCCCACTGCTAACCCCCAAGTGGGGCTTTTCTGACCTTTTGAATACAACAGTGACTCAATGAGAAAAAAAAAATGGGCAATCCCCTGCAGTGAGATTTGTTGTTTTTATGTGACGTTGAGTCGCTTGCGACTCATAGCAACCCTATGTACAACAGCCCTAAACTCTGCTCTGCCCTGATACATCCATCCCGATTACCCCAATCACTGAATCAATCCACCTCATAGAAGGCCTTCCTCTCCTGCACTGTCACTCCATCCTCCCAAGCGTTATGTCCCTCTCCTTAAAACATGACCAAAGTATGTCAGACGAAGCCTCAGAATTCTTGCCTCCAAGGAGCAGCCCGGTTTAACCGTCTCCATGCAGAACCTGTTTCTTAGCAGTCAATGGTACATTCAATACTCTTCTCCAGCACCACAACTCAGAGGCATCAATTCTCCTTCTATCCTCCTTAGTCATTGTCCAACTCTCTGATGCATAGCAAGTGATTACAAAAACCATGGCCTGTATTAGACGCACCTTAGTCTCGAGAACCATTGCTCTTTAGTACTTTGGTCTTTTAATTTCCTGGCTGCTATTGCCAAGAGTATTGACTGTGGAGCCAAGCAAACTAAAGCTTTAAACAATCTCAGTCTCTTCACCATCCATCCTGATGCTGCCAATTGGTCCAGTGGTGAGAATCTTTGTCTTCTTGACATTGAGCCTCAATCCATATTGAAGGCTGTAGTCCTTGACCCTCAGCAGCAAGCGCTTCAGGTCCTCTTCAGTTTCAGCAAGCAGAGTTGTGTCATCTGCATAATGCAGATTGTTGATAGATCTTCCACCAATCCTGATGTCGCATTTCTCCTCATAGAGCCCAGCCTCCCCGATGATCTGTTCTGCATACAGGTTGAAAAGGTATGGAGACTGGACACATCCCTGGCGTACACCCTTCCCAATTCTGAAACATGCAGTGTTTCCTTGCTCTGTTCTAACAGCTGCCTTTTGGTCCAAGAATAGAGGTTTCACATGAGCACGATTAAGTGGTCTGGGATTCCCATTCTTCTCAGAGTCAGCCACAGTTTATGATCCACACAGGCAAATGCCTTTGCAGACTCCAAAAAACCTGCTGGAAGATCAGTTATGTGTCGGTTCTGACTCAATGGTAATGCGTTTGAGTTTTGAGCGCATAGAGTAATAGGGTTTTACACAAGTCGTACACTATAAAATTACTTGTTCTCCCTATGTTTATGTTTATCTTAGATGGAGGTATTTTTCTTGCTTTTAAAGAGCAAAAGAATTACACACTGAGAGCAAGATATGATAGCTGTAGCAGTGACAAAAAAAAAACCAAACACAGCCACACAGCAAAAAAAACCTCAACCCAAGCTGCCGGAAACGACTTGTCCCAGACCAAACGTCATCCAGTGTCCATCGCGCAGGCGCAGGAAGGGGCGTGGTTGACTCAGACTAAAGAGAAAAATGATTTGCTGATTCCGGGGACCCGCCCCTTGCCTTGCGTGCTCCTTACGGAGTTAGTGATTTTCTCACAGCGCGCGCCAGCTTCTCCCGCGTTTCGTGGGCCAGATACAGGTTAGCTTTTGGTCTTGTGTGAGGTGTCACTCCCTCAGTTAATTACGATCATTGCGAAAGTTGAGCTTCTTTGACCGTAAGTTTGAGAGGTGAGGGGGTGGCAGGGTGTAGACACGTCAGGGCGCGTAATATACTGCTCCTAAAAATTACTCTTTTTGCTCCTGCCAACCTAAGGCGAAGCTCTTTGGCAGCTGTTGGGCCGAGAGCAGATGGAGTGAAGTTGAGGTTATTCGGAAGCGAGAGCCCAGGCCGGGGCGGGAGTGGCAGCCGCCGCGAGCGGCCGCTCATTGGTTGAGCAGGTTTTGGCGCGCTCTCCCTCAGCGTCCCTCATTGGCTGATTTGCGTTGTGGTGGGTGGGTTTCTGCGCCCGGGTCGGGACTGCCGCCCGCTAGCGGGTCTCCCGGAGGCGGCGCTGGCGGCCTCGGGGGCGTTTCCGATGCTGTTTACCGGTGCGGGTGGTTGAAGGAACTAAACCCGAGGTAACTGGCGGTGGGGCCCGGGCGGGCCGTTCTCCTCTCTCCAGTAAGGCGGTGCTCGGGGGAACCCACGAACTTGGCTTATAGACGCAGGTCGCTGATCCTGGGTCTCCCCTAGGACGGCTTGATTTTTCTTCAGTGTGGTTAGAATATTCACGGGAAAACCTTTGCCGGTGTTAACAGTTTCACAGACTCAGGTGGACGTTGACCACCTTTCTGCTGCACAAGCTTCACCCCGTTCGAGTTTTTAATGTAATGACTTAAGAGACAAGATACAAAATGCTGAGAGAATAGAAGGCAGAGTTGCTGATAGGATTGGGGTTAACGTGGCGGGTTAGACTCACTTTATCAGAGACGTTAGACTTTTTTATTCGTGCAAATCGGAAAACAAATCTTAATCTCTACTTACAACCCGCCTATATAACCATATTAGAAGTTACACGCAGTGTTTGTCCCTATGGTTCCCTGCCTTCTTGTCCTATTAAGTTACATTAAAAAAAAAAAAAAATTGGTTAAACCAGGAAACCAAGGCCCCTCCTGTCAAGCATTTTCAGAACCTATATTCCACCAGATTTCACAGCTGAAAAATTTATTGGGTAGAAACAGTCTTTCTCTTATGGAACCGCTAATGCATTCAAACTACTGACCTTTCAGTTAGTAGTGAAGCATGTACTATCCGAGAACAGAAAATATTGCCATGCTTCGGTATAGTAGGTTCTTACTAATACACAGTATCTTAATGTAAAATCAAATGGAAATTAACAATACATCATCACACATACTCTGTTTTTGTTTCCAAAACATTACTCTTTGCTTTATATGTGTGGATGTGCTTGGGCACAATGTAAAATGTTAAGTTTGAAGGCCACTACATAGAATAAAGGGGGCTCTGGTGCCCTAGTGCTGAGAAGCTGTTCTGCAATCCTGCTGCATCACAGGAGAAGAATGGGCAGTCTCTCCGGACAATTTCCTGCGTGGAAACTTTCTGGAAGATCAACTGTGTGTCAGTTTCAACTTGACAGCACAGAACATTTGTAGATAGAGGCATGACCACAAAAGAGATCTGTCAGGGAAGGTACAGACGTGACAAGTATTCTTGTGTTTGTTTTCCCCTTTCTGTCAGAATTTGCAGTACTATCTTAGCAACTGAACCTACTGATTTAATTTAGAGAAACAAACAGGTCTGTCCTGGAGAGGATGAAACCAGGTTGCTTCTTGGGGCCAAGGATTTTGAAACTCCATCTCACATACCTTGGGTTTGTTCTCAGGAGAGGCCAGTCCTTGGAGAAGGAAGCCATGCTTGGAAGGGTGGAGGAATAGCACAAAAACACCCTAGATAAGATGGGTTGACGTGTCAGAGATGGTGAAATTAACTCAGGATAGGGCAAGGTTTAGAGCTTATGTTCCTGGGATCACTGTTAGTTATAGTCGACTCATTCTTTCCTCTGTAAACATTTTCCCCTTCTTCCTCATTAATTTTCTATTCAGCACTTTCTTCCCCTTCTTCAAAAGCCGATTAAGTCCTGATGTATCAATTTCCCTTCTTCCTGATCTATGGATTGTAATTTGCCAGCTATACCATGTTTATATGCTACAATGTTGTTTATAGTCTTAAAAATATTTTAAAAAAACAAATAAAAGATAGTCATAAGTGCAGTTACTTATAACTTTAATTCATTGTAGATTGGAGACTCAGAATGACTATGTTTATATGTCAAAAAGTAACTTTATGCATTGATAGGGCTGAGTCTCAGAGCAGGAAGAAAAAGTAAGTAGTTCTATCACACAGTAGTATATTTGTTTATGATTATAAGTACTTTCAACAAAAAAGTCCAGACTACCCTCAAATGCAAACCACATTCTGTTTTTCAGTCATCAGCTGTATAATGAATCCCAATATGAAGCAGAAATGTGAAGGACTCCAAGAGAATATAAAGGTATGTGACTGAATCACTTTAATCTATTGTAGGAAGGATGTATTTTACAACTATTTTGACATAGGTTAGTCAACTTTAATCATGTTTATAATTTCCATATGTTGTTGTTATGTGCCGTCGAGTCGTTTGCGACTCATAGCGACCCTATGTACAATAGCCCTAAACCCTGCTCTATCCTGTGCCAATCGCACTGCCTCTGA